AAACAATATATGGACAACAAGGAAAAAGGATTAGGAAAGTTATAAACGGAATAGGAAACCAGAGGAATAAATCAATACATTTTCCAAATAAATAAATAAATTTGTAGAGTTTGGGGGAAAAGTATAGAATTAAATAATACACCAGTGAGAACAGAATTAAATCTATATTAGAAAGAGATTCTTTGAATGTTGCAAATGAACACTAGAGGGGACTAAAGAACCACACATAAAGAAAAAGAAGGGGAAAGTTTAAAATGGCCAATCCAGTATAACTTTTGAATTACTTGAAGAATTCATTAAAAATGGACCAAAATATTAATAATTAATATCTTAGAAAGCATAAAGCTTCCAATGAAGATGTTAAGGGAAAAATTTAAAAACAACTTATACCCAACCACATATACAGAATACACTATAATAGAGTTTGAAAGGACTTTTGGAGATCTTCTAGTCCAACTCCCTACTGAATCAGAAGACTCTATACCATTTCAAACAAATGACGTCCAGTCTCTTCTTAAAAGCCCCCAGTGATAGGGCATCCACAACTTCTGAAGGCAAGCCATTCCATTGTTGGTTGTTCTTGTTTTTAGGGAATTTCTCCTTTGTTCTAGGTTACTTCTCTCAATTAGTTTCCATGCATAGGTTCTTGTCCTACCTTCAGGTGCTTTGGAGAAAAGGTTGGTCCTCTCTTCTTTGTGGCAGCCCCTCAAATATTGAACACTGCTATCATGTTACCCGTAGTCCTTTTTTACTCTAGACTAATATGTGTATATATGGTCCACAGAAGCCTCCCTTATCCTACCCCCTTCTCTCCCTCAGGCTTGCCCCACAGAAGCCCCATCTATCTTATCACATTCTCTCCCTCAGGTTTGCCTCACAGAAACCCCCGCACCATATTTTTCGGAGTATAAGACGCACCAAGGTTTTGAAGAGGCAAATTTAAAAAAAGTTTTTGCACTCTGCAAACCTCTCCAAAACAGCCTGTTTTTCGCGGAAATTGGCTCATTTTTTTAAGGGTATGAATAGCCCTTAGGAGGCTTATAGAGTGTTCCGGAGGGGGGCAAAAACGAGCAAAAAATGGTCCCTTTTTTGTGAAAACAGGCCCATTTTTTGTCAAAAAAAGGGCATTAGGAAGCTTATAGAGTGGCCTAAAAATGGGCTGTCTTTTGCTCATTTCTGCCTCCCCAGCCCCCAGAAGTTCTCTGAAAGCCTCCTACAAGCTATGCATGGCCATTTGGGTGAAGGGGCATGATTTCAGGAGGCAAAAGAAAATGCTGTATTCAGTGTATAAGACGCATCCATTTTCAGCCTCTTTTTGAGGAGAAAAGGGTGTGTCTTATACTCAGAAAAATATGGTATTTTATCACCTTCTCTCCCTCAAGCTCCTCTCCAAACTCCCAGCCAGCAGGTCTTGCACTGGCCACACCCACATCCAAGATTTCAGGTTGGGATCGGGAGTAGAATGTCTAAACTCCTAAGCATCAGAGTGTATTAATAATAATATACAAAATACTAATGTTCTGATGATCATTTCGAAAAATCCTTTGTTACCGAGCACCTAGAAGTGAAGAGGAACATACGTGCCAAATTTCAAGTTTGTAGGCTTTACGGTTCTGGAGATTTCGTGATTCCTGCGTGAGTGTTTTCACATAGATATAGATAAAACATATAATAGAGCTAGTTCAGATTTCCTTTAAAGAAAGACATGAGAAAAACAAACATGCAATGTTTCACCAATCTCTTTGATCTAGTGTTTTGCAACTCTATTATATGTTTTATCTAT